ATGTTGCACCATCTAGGATACATTTGTACATGGAAGAATGTACATTATTATTTTTAATTGCTACTGATAGCTATTCCACTTTCCATCAGAACAGTTTGTGTATCTTTTCATAATCAGATATGCATACACGTACACAAGCGTGAGTACACAATTTAATGAGGTGAATTCTTCTAATTTTTAGGAAGAAATTGTGAAAAGGGATAAAAATAGATGAATACTTTCAGAATTCGAAAATATACAGGAAGAGATCTTATTTTAATTGAAGGAAATGAGAAGTTAGCTTTGGCTGACTTTTAATGACTATGTAGTAAGCCAAACAAAACAAACAATTTACAAGTAAACATTACAGTGAATCAATTTTTAAATTCATCAGTAGCTGCTTCAAGTTTCCGTTTACTGAATTAATTTGGTATGTATGCGTTACTTCCAAAATGACTCCTGAAATACTTTCTTGAACTTTGGAGCCAAGGGTACCTTTTATGATGGACATGCTAGGTAACAGTTATCTGTTTAGCCTGAAAATCTTCGTTAAAATAAACATTTAATTTGAAATCCAACCAATTAAAATCCAACTGAAATCTAGCAAATTAAAAAAAAAGAATTAGATGTAGCTTAGTTAATAAATTTTCCCTGAGACCTTTACCAATTTTTGATCTCTTCTACAAACACTGTTAAAAGCCTAAAGAGGAAACAGCCTGAAGTACCTATAAAGCCAAAACAATGAATCTGAGTCTGCAAAACATCCTGTGAGATGTAAATGGAAGCTAAAAGAAAACACACAGCAGCTGAAAATTCAGACACAGTTTCAGTGACTCTTAAACATAAAGAGTGTCCCCAAATACTCTAGAGTAAGCAACTGAAGGTCAGTCATTCATGTCACTTGTGGTGGCGACTTTTTCAATGTCACTCAGATGTACAGTGACTTTTAACTGAAAGCACTGCTGGGCGTGTGGATTTTTCCTACTGTAGCTGACATAAATTAAGCCCTCAGAATTAACCCCAAATACCACAGCACTATCTCAGGACCGTCCACTGTGTGTAAAGAAGAACTTTGTACGTTGCTTTGTGGATAATATTTGGCCACGTTTTCACTCAAGTAAAAAATTCAATGTGCAAGGGGCTCAAAAATCCCGGAAAATATGAAGAAAATAAGCCTCTTGCAATACTCACACTCTAAAAGCCATATTATTTCTTCTAACACAAGTCCTTCCGTTAAAAAAAAAAGCATTCAGGAACCACGTAAAAGTAACCTCATGCAAAAAAAAAAAAAAAAAAAAAAGGGAAAAAAAAGCAATACGAAGAATGACACAACGAAGTCTCCTGAGAAGAAATCCATTCCCCAGGGAGGCCGAGGAGAGCTCTAAGCAACACAGACTTTGCATCAACGCAACACTGTGCATACTCCCTCTCCTTTCTCCTCTTACAGTTCCTCTTTGACCTTTAATGTATACTTCTTATTTAACCACTGTCAAAATTGCTACTTTCAAGAATAAAAGATCGTATTTTCACAGCAGCTATTCACAGGCAAGTGGGGCTTGGGTGTTGGGGGGCAGTGGGCTTTTTTGAGAAACTTCTTAATAAAAGTAAATGAAACTATAAGATGCACTGCTTTTGTGGTAGGCAAATAATAAAAGCATTTAGTAGCCTCTGGAGAGGGACATGCAGCAGCTACCTGGTACGACAGATTTCTGTTCAGGCTCTTTTATCGCTGTGCTCCCACTCACATGCAGCCGGACGTAGCCGGAGCCCTCCAAACAATGACAATTTTTTGGGGAAAGCATTCACATTGGCTATGGGGCACAGTGGAAGAGGGATGGGCCAGGTGCCGGGAACAGCTTCAGTGGCGGAGGAGATTTGACTCTACCAGGGCTTGCACACACAGAGGTGCCCAGTGCTTGGCCCGTGGCAGTGGCCACGAACCAGTGCTGCAGGTGCCCTGCCTGGGCAGGAGGGGACTCTGCCCACCCTGGAAGGGTGCATTTTCCCTGACTCCTTTTAGTTCTTCAGATAGGGTGAAGGAGAGCCAGTTCCTCAGAATAAATCCCACAGAAGCCATTTAATCCATCACTTTCAGCCTCAGGGAGCTGGTGTAAGTAACCTGTGGCTGATGGATGTGAAAGGACTCTAGACCTAACTGTCTTCCCCAAGGTCACAACACAGTTGCAGGCAGCCTGACATCAACGGAGGATTGCCCATGGGGTCACCTCGGCTGCCTTGTCAAAGGATGCTGCTGCAGAACTGAAGAAATTAATCACATACATACATGAAGAAGTTGTGTTTAAAAGACAAACAAGCACTTTTGCAATAATGAGGAAACTGATCTCCTGCCACTTCAGCTATTCCCACAACACTGCAGGATCTCATAAGAAAGAAGAAAAAGACAAGCGTGAACTTGCTAATGCTCACTTTTGCTAATCAGAGATTAATCAATGTACACACACATAGCCACAAATATGTTCTCTCTCCATCTCTAAAAAAAACCCTACTTGAACACACAGAACAAATACAATGGCCCTTCTCATTTTCTGACCTGTAAGAGTTTGACAGCCAAATTAAAAATCAATTAAAACAGTATCACTACAACACTTGCTGCCAAGCAACAACTGCTTTAGGACATTTCTTTTTTGTAGGACTTACTAAATGCACATTTTCCATTTGAAACTAAATTGCTCTGGTTTATTTTTCATGTACTCATCAGAATCTGGATACACCTGCAAGCACTGGTTGTTTACTAACAGCCACAGTGGGCAAAGTATGGCACCAATATTTAGACAGATTATTTTTCAAACCTGAACTGGGAAGGAAATAGTGGCACAGTGAGTGGAATATAATACCCTACTCCTTATACTACAAGGCTAGTCTCCACCATATTTTTATCAAGATATTTTTCATGCACTGGATGGATATGCAGTATTTATGACTTCACTGGTAAACCAATCATACATTCAAGCTGGAGTAAGAGCGGAAAGTCACATTCTTATGTTCACACCCTTATTTTTACTTGCCAAACTCAAGCTTTGAGTTTAACTTTGATTCACTAACAATTATACAATTAGCAACTATACAATTATATTAGCAACTTCAGAACCTATGTAAAAATTCTAGCATATAGTAACCTAGCCGAAATTCAACAAAACTTCGTTAACCATCTTTTAAGAATCTATGTGAAAGCCCCGTATGAAGATCAAGAAAAAATAGGTTGTAAACGAATGGGAAGTATTTCCAGCTACACAGACAAACAAAAATCCTCAACAAACTGTTTTTCAGTTAATTTAAGAAAGCCAAAGTCTGTTATGAACATATCCAGACCTAGTCCTGCAGTCCTCACTTACAAACAATTTTTATCATGTGTTTTAGCTTATGTGACAGTTAGAGAACGCAAGGTGCATAGCCAAGAATGCTAAAGTTGTGCAAAATGCTAATTCTTACTTCAAGAGGGATCTGAACAAGAGGGTTCACAATTCTGTGTCATATATTGTTAATGCATTGAATAAATAAGTATTCGAGAAACATAGCTGAGCTAGGTATGATTGCATCATGTTTTATCCAGCTTACATTTAAAGAATCTGAATTAAATAAACCTCAACAAATCACCTGAATTTTTTTTTCTGTAAATGAAGAGTTCTTAGACATTGTCAGCTATGCTGCCTCTCAGCAATTAAAGGCTACAATCTGTTATTCTCACTTTACAAAATTTCCCTACCCTCCAAAAAAAGCATCTAGCAGTGCCAAAATCACATAATTCAACCAAGTACACTGTGTTATTAAGCATGTTTCTAATACAAAAATGTCCTGAGGTCCAATAATTTGGTGTTTTTTAAAACAGAAGATAAGATTTTCTTAAAGGCAACTTCCCCCTATCTCTTTCAGTGAGTTTTAAGGAGAAAAAACAAAACAAAACAAAACAAAACAAAACAAAACAAAACAAAACAAAACAAAAGGAAGCAGTTCCTGATCTCAGTTTAAACTTTGTATGATGGTATAAGAAAAGGACATGGTCAACTGCAATTTTTTCACTTCCAAGTAAACAAAAGAAGTTATGAGACGATAGCCTCCTAGTTGCTAAAGTGCTACTACACAACAGAAGTGCATAAAGTAGATGTAAGTCAGCAAAATGATGCATCAATTTATTGAAAAAAGTAGTAATACCTTTATCCTGTAAAATATTCCTGCCAGCTGGATGATGCAAAGGAGAGGCTTCAGAGCTGTGCCCAGATTTTGTAGGAGAGGAAAGTGGAGTGTCTCCCCGAGCATGAGGGGAAAGGACACCTCCTTTATGGTGCTGTCCTTCTTCCTGGCTTTCAGTTAGGTTGTCAAGTGAGATTGCTGCACTGCTAGTCACAGGGGAGAGTGAGGAAGCACCAGAATCTGATGCTGGTGAGGATGCTCTCATGCATAAGGGCAGTGGTGTTTTTGAAATGTGCATGGGACTACTGTAACTGTTTGACGGCTGTTGGTATAAGAGATTACAAAGCAGATTATACCATTTAGTAACCAATCAGAGCAAGGTTTACTTTGAACATGCAATTCTTTTATTAATTATTTAGCCTTCTATTTGTAAGAAATGCTTTAGTAATTCATACCATTACCTTTTGATACCACACACAGTGTTGTTTATTGGTATTTGCTTTGATGGAAGTCAGAATCAGACAAAACAATGAGTAAATATCATATCAATTGTGTTAACAAATTAACAGAGAAATGCATGATTCAAGTTCCTTTCACCTCCTGCATAAATGAAAGGACCCACTCTGCATTATAAAGCACCCATAAATCAGAAAGCACAGGATTCCTGTTAAAAAAAAACCAGACAACCAAAACACCAGGTGTACTGACTCAAAGGAGACCAGACTGGCACATCACTTGAGAACATTCATAGCATACTGGCCATAGAATAAATACTGCCTGTGCTACAATGAAAGGACAGAGGATGAAATGACTTACAGGGGCATTCTAGCCCTCCATAGGAAGCCTGAGAGAGAGGGTAGAGTCCTTCTCACCTTTCGTTCTAGGCTGTCCTCTCCATCAGTTGAGCTGATGCTATCATACAGCCTTGTTCTAGAAGGCCTCTGCCGCTTGTTCTTCACTGAAAGCTGAGCACGAGTCTTCAGAGCTTTGGAGTCCAGTCTCTCTGTTTCTGGCACTGCTTCACTGAAATCTGTATGGAAACATGATCTGAAGCTATTTGACAGAAGCAGCTTTCACCACTTTTTCCTAAGATAGGACCTGCTCCCCGGCACAAACATGCACCCCACATGTTCGCAAGGAATCTCCCAACCCACTGGGGAGCCTGATAAATCTGTAAAAGTCATAACAGGTTTTACTTTGCTCTCATAATCATGTAATTAGACTTTCTTTCAGCAGGCATTGAACCACTTGACTCAATGGGCTTTCATGTGAATTATTTCAGTACCACTGCAGAGCAGGAAACAGCTTGCCAGTCCTCCCACTGTTTTTCAATTATACAGGCTGATAGATTTCAAAATCTCCTTCTGTGAACTGATGCATCCCTGCGTATCCCAAGGGACCCAGAAAGTATAGCCATCAAAGCGGCCTGAAATCAGCATCAGCACTGAACTGTTTAGATTTCAAACCACTGACTCCTTCCAGTAAATAGTTTGATTCTCTACTGCAGACACAGCTCATGGCTGCTAAATCAGAAAGCTACAATGCACTTTTATCTATTTTTTCTGAACTCAGAATAAATAATATATTTGTAAAAGATACACAATCCTTAGGCCACTAGTGTTCCCTGGCAAAGCAAAGGAAGAACTCTGTGAGCCATAATGGTTTTGATTTTCTAACTTCCACTGATGTTACTGGCAGCTCCTCAAACTCAGTATGAGGTTATGATACAGCCTGAAGAGTCGTACAGTCTGGCGTGACACTAAACACAGCCAGAGCACCTGCAGCGGCAGGGACAGCTATGCTCGTATGTACAGGACTGTGAAGTTGCACCCATTATTTCTCCCCAAATCTATTCCCATGCAAGAATGTAATAAACACCTTGGATCACACTGAAGCAATAAACATACTTGGTATAATTTTAATTAAAATATGCATTTTTACATAACCTGATTTTTTTTTTGAGAGAAGACAGACCTGCAAACTTCAGAATAAAAATTATGGGATGTGGCTGCATACATGCAGTCCCACCCCACAAACAGAATGCTGAGGCTCAAGAAGAAGTGTGTGTTATATTCGCCAAATAAAATGCAGAAGAGACCGGAGCACTTGCATGAATGTCACAGAGATGGAGTGCACAACACACTGCACCTGGAGGAACCCTCCAAAGACATTGCAGGTATCTCCCCTGTCCCTTATAGCTCCTCTGCAAACATCCACAGGATGATCAGTAAATACACAAATTATTAGTGATTAGTATTATCAGACAATGGCAAGTTCTTTTTTAAAAATGTTTACACAAGGGTGATATGGAGACACAAGCTCTTTCTCTGAAGACCAAGTGTCACTACATCACAGTCTGATGAAGACTTCACAGACTCTAATATGCAATTTTCAGTCAAAGGTATACGAAGTCAAAGAGAGCTACAGCATGTTTAGACATCTCTTAATTTTAAAAAAGGGCTTTTCTTTTTCTCTTGTCAAAAACACAAATCCAGCCTGAAATCTAAGGTCTAACTATGCTTTTTCTGCTTTCAAAAAATCACTGCTGATTGTGTTTTTCCTAGCAAGTAATTTGTGTTTGTATTCAGGTGGTTAAACTTGGGCATAGACAAACTGTCTATTCTAATTCTCAGAAGTACTGAGCACTGGTAAACTTTCTCCAGGGGAACATTTTTGAAATGAAAATGGCAGCTCTTGGAAAATGAAAATTTTCATGCAAATATATTAATTAAAAAATGTAATTCAGAAATACTGACACATGGAGTTTTAATGCTTTACAAAGAATTCTCAAATTTTTA